TGTTACAGTTATGATTATTCGAGGAGTGTTGTTGCCACATCTCAGTTTGTCTGAATGCTTATACTACCAGGAAGCTGCCTAGCCCATCTCTATTAAACTTGATCCACTTTTCCAAACCTAGTTATCTTTTCTTACATAGTCACTCAGAATGCAAGGCAGGGTGGCTCTTTTGTTTCTCTGTGTCATTCAAATGTCTAACAGGGGAAAAAAAATAAAGTCTATATTTTTCATTTACCAAAAGAGCTTTTTCGTATAATCTTCATTTCTAATTACACAAACAGGGCAGAGCTATTTTCTCTTCACTGGTAGGCTTTCTTCCAAATCAGCTCTAAAATAGCTCTTTGTTTCAACAAATTCTTTGCCGATCCATATTAATGCTTAACAGTGTAACATGACCATACATGGTCACTTTAAAAAAAAAGCACCCTAAACCCTTTGATAAAACAACAAAAGAGGCAAGTTGTTAAGAAGCCCAAAACGATGGTAGCTCTTGCAGAATATTTAACATGAGGTCACTTATTAAATACCAAAAGCACTGTTATAAACAATAACTGTGACTTTCAGAAAAATGGAATTGATGAAATTGTTTTTAGATTTCAAATGGCAGACAATAGAGTGCATTCTCTCTGTTCCTTATTTTTAAGCAATTTTATTCTCTTGGACAAATTGGCTGCCAGAGGAAGGCTAACTTTTTGGAGGGTTTAAAAGCTTGGCAAAAATTATATTTGGAAATTCCTCACTAACTTAAGTTGGATAATTTCTATTGATTTCTCCAGAGGAAGGAGAAATTGTCCAATAATATATCAAGGGAAGGAGTCTCCCTTGACTGTGTTACTAAATATCTCAGAAGAGGACCCTCCGTAGTTTGTAAAAGCGTCAGAAGAAATGTACTTTCAGACTTGCAAGATTTTGTTAATATAGCCTCACAATAAGGTAGAATTAATTCATCTGGTCATGCTTGCTGTCTGAACCTATCTCTGTGTGGGAGAGAGGGGGGAGGTGGAAGGGAGAGGGAGAGAAAGAAAGAGAGAGAAGGAGAGAGAGAAGGAGAGAGAGAAAAGGAGAGAGAGAGAAAAGGAGAGAGAGGAAAGAAAAAAGGAGAGAAAGAGAGAGAGAAAAGGAAAGAGAGAAGGAGAGAAAGAGAGAAAGAGAAGGAGAGAGAGAAGAGGAGAGAGGACAGAGAGAGAAAGAGAGAGAGAGAAGGAGATAGAGAAAAGGAGAGAGAGAGAGAAGGAGAGAGAGAGAGAGAGAGAGAGAGAGAGAGAGAGAGCAGAAGAAAACTCTCAACTCAGTTTTAGGGGCCCATAAATGTATGGTTTTAAAAAAACATCCTTGTAGGTAAGACTGGCCTCATTAGTCCCATCTACCGACTATAAGTTGAGTTAAGTGGAAAGGACCATTCTCCAGACCACCCACACATTGTCCTGCCTTTCTGTTTTCATTTTTGCTTTTTCAGAGGGATTAGTGCTAAACACGACAGCTTTTCAGCCTCACCAAAAAATGAATCTGAAGGATGGGGGGAAATCAATTTTGGGTCAAGTGAAAATCAGTCTCTTAAATCTGCATTGCGAGCTGTTTATCTTACAAATTTATTCTTTTTTTAATTGGGCCACACATATCCTAGGCAGCAAAATAAAAGAGAAATGTCTAACAAGCTGACATTAAGAGTGACATCTAGCAAAGCATAACTAGTACTCTGATTCCATAAATTTATCTGGAGTGGCTGGTTAGTTTTAGCTATCTGTTGATCTACATTTGTTTTTTCTGGCCTGCTGTATGATGTTTATAGAAACCCCAAACAAAATAAAAGGATCCTTTCACACATTTGCGGTTTTCCACTTCATATGTGCCGTCTGAATTTTGCACAGTTCAGAGTTTTCTTCTGCTGAATTTTGTTTCCTGAATTTTGCTGTGCGAATAATAGGACAATCAAAGTTTCCTGAGGAATCCAGCAATATAAAATAGTTCATGCCTGTTTGACAGTCCACATAGATTCTATGTTGTGTTACTATGTTGTGTTACTCTATGCTGCAGAGACTTTTGGTGTTTCTATTCATGCATCTTCCCAGCTTTCTAACAACTACTTTGTGTTAAAATTTTCTAGAAGGTCAAGTAGAATACTCAGGGAAATTTATTCTTGTGCTTCTTTTATCCAATTGTTTATTGTTTTCATTCTAAGAAAACAAAAAGCAAAGCTTCAATGTCCAGGGAATATTAATGTTGTGTGTGATTTCCTTGACACATATTTTAACAATTTTTCACTTTTCAGAAACACACATGCATTTACTTTATTGACTATTGGGGAAATACATCCATAAAATTCACATATATTTTCCCCTAAGGTTTTTTGTTTGTGTGTTTGTTTGTTTGTTCTTCACTGTTGCTTGCTCCAGACTTTTCTGCTCTTTCCTGTTTGTACACTGATTCTAAGCTAGATTTGTCATTTATCTACTTGCTTGTTCATTAGATTTATTTGCCACCTATCTCACCATGGGGCAATCCTAGGCGGCTTACAATGATAAAAAGGAAGAAATGAAAAGAGGGTAAACAGAACAGAAGCAAAATAATAGAGACACGCAATGAACAATGAAAAAGAACACAGTGAAAATATATCAGTAACTCCCTTTTACAACCCTGTAATCCAGAGGTGGTTTCAGCAGGTTCTGACCAGTTCTGGAGAACCGGTAGCAGAAATTTTGAGTAGATCAGAGAACTGGCAAATCCCACCTCTGACTGGCCCCGTCCCCATCTATTCTCTGCCTCCCATTGAGTCCCAGCTGATCGGCTGGGTCTTCTTTGGTTGCCCTGCACAGGAGAATGGAGCTGGAAAGCAGGTTAGTGGGGTGGGGAGGGAAGGGGGATGCCATGCCCACCAAGCCACGCCCACAGAACTGGTAGTAAAAAAAATTGAATCCCACCACTGCTGTAATCCCTTGATTCAGGATAGAGTCAGAGTGACTGTATGCAGTTATGTGTTTACTGGTTGGATTCCCTTCCTGATGCCAGCTGAGTTCGCAACATTTTTTTTTCTTGCTCCCTAGAGGAGAGAACTTCTGTCACTACCTAGCATTGAACTCTCAATCTTCCAAGTGGCAGGCAAGCATCTTCACCACTAGGCCACCACACTGCTCAAATGAAAAAACAAAAGAAAACACTAATATGATAGCACAAAGATGGATGGGTGGAGAGCAGAGAATAAAGGAGGAAGGGGAATCAATCCAGCAGCCACGTTCAGCGTGGAGTTGGCCCACATAACTCTAAATTCTTCCCCAACACTTGGCTGAAAACTGGTCATACATACACACCTAAGTGCCCCATGCATTATCTTGAAGGAACCAATGTATGGCATCAGATGAGACGTTGACTAGGAGATCCAACCACCGTAAGCACAGAAGAGGCATTGAGTGGCCTTGGGTCAGTCACTTCCTTTTAGCTCAGCCTACTTCACGGGTTTGTTGGGGGGAGAACACAAGAGGATGGAACAATATGTATACCATCTTGGGCTCATAGTTCAAAAAGGATATAACTCTACAAATATAATAATACATGTGTTTGCAGCTGAAATTTCATATTTGTGCATATTTCCCTTCTCTTGCTCATGGGCACATCATACACTTCCTTTCCATGTTATGAAATTATGCAGTGTTAACATGAATTACCTGATGACATTTCATGGAACTGTCATGATACCAAGGATTCTAGGTTTGTTTGGGTTTGCGGGTTTTTTGTTTTTTTTTGCTCTTCTTTTCCATATTCCTTGTTTTCTGTCCTTTGTCAGCCCTCTGATTGTTAAATCTCATAAAGTCAGAGGTATACTAGGAAGATGACATGGTGAATCAATCAATTACTGTGGGTCATGTGGACTCCCCATTTTGGGGTGAATTCAAATGGAGGCTAGAGAGTGATTCTTTCAACAGAAGATAGTACTTGTAGCTGAGGTTAAACTGTGGGATCTTTGATGCTTTCTGAGCTTGGTTGTTTGCCTGCAGATGCATTGCCCAACTAGGTTACATCATCAGTGCCAATTGTAATAACTGAGGTACCTCGCTCCAGTTTTTCCTAAACCAGTTTATTCTGAAGGTGGCATCAGCAGAGAACAAGAACAGTTAAGGGTACAATGGAGATAAATCCAATGTGGAAGTTGTCTGAGATAAAGCTCAGCTTAAAGCTCTTTTTTGCCTCTTGGATGCAGAATGAAGTAGGAATAATCATGTGACACAATTAAATTACGATGGCATCTCGCTGTAAAGAAAATAATAAAAGAAAAGCTGTAGCTTGGTATAATTTATGTGACAAGTTCCCACAAACATTGGGTATAGTCCATTTAATGGGTGAACAATTTTTAAATCTCCTTGATTTCATTGTGAAAGATTTGCACATCTGCTTAGTCTTCTATTAAAACCAACAGTACTTAATGAATTAACCAAAGGCTTATATTTAAAAGTGCTTAATTTCCTGTGCATTATGCCTAATACCATTAATATTAGTAGTATCAATTGTAGTAATGTTCTTACCGCTTTCTTTAGTCTTCAAAACTTTTGAAAGGGATGCACAGCATGGCTTGCAGACGCCTGCATATTAACAGTCAAGCAAAAGCAAGAAAGGAAGAAAAAAAATCTTTGCTGGAAAAAAACAAGGGAGGAAAAGTTTTGTGTGTGTGTGTGTGTGTGTGTGTGTGTTTTAAGGATGAGAAAGTACTTAATAGGAATGAAGCAAAAGAAGAAATCAAGCCAGCTGCTGACACAGCTGTTTCTTTTCTTGTCTAATTCAGTTCTGTATAAAGGTACCATATGCTGCTTAAAAATGACGATGGGAAAGATGAAATAATTTAAGAGAATAACAAGAAAATACATGAATTGTCAGCATTCTGTCAGATTTAAAAGAATGAAACAGACAGGTGTAGTATTGACATGTTTCGCTTTGTGTTGCATTAGCAGTTTGAGTGAGAACAACTTCTTGACATGTGCTGAAGTGATGTGAGAACGTTCTCTCTATTTCAGATGTTGGAGAGGAAGCTGGAAGATCTGCCGGTGGCCAGCAGCAATCACTATTGAGAGATAGGAACCTTGGGTCTGCCATGAAGGACTGTCCCTACTGTGGGAAAACATTCAGGACATCTCATCACTTAAAAGTTCACTTGAGGATACACACAGGTGAGGCCTCCTCATAAAACAGTGATACTTTTGTGCAGAAAAGAAAGGGATGCACAGAAGGTGTTCTCTGGAAGTATGGAGACTAAATCTACATCCTACAAGAATTATATCCGCGTTCTTCTTCCTACCATTTAGTAAATGGCGGAACTGGCCCTGTGGGATGAAGGAAACTGAGATGGAGGAGGCCAAAATGTAACCTCTCACTCTTTCAAGCCATGGCCAGGATCATGGACTTCTTGTAAAGCTCTCAGCTTTGGAATCCAATAATTTCCCAATGCCATGTCCAAAACCAAGAGCTGATTATTCTTTGAGGCTGATGGTTGTTGTTTTTTTCTTATTTCTCACATAAGGACAAAATCTTTCCAGATGGAGTATTCTAGTATCTGCAATATACTCCGTGAACTAATAGGGAGAGGGTTTCTCTTTCACATAACGTCTGGGCTGAGTTGCCTCTTACTTCTCTGGAGTGCCCCTCCCTCCCTCCCGGAATTCCACATCCTCATTCCATTCTATTATACCTAGGTTTTTTTTCTAGATCAAAGAGTCAGTCCATCCCCCCCCCCCTTCTCTCAGTCTCTCCCTCCCTCTCTCCACTTCTGAAAAATGCTACCCAAAAAAAATATAGGGAGAAGTTGCTGGGAATTAAAACTGATTTAGATGCAGAAATGTTTTCTGCAATTCTTGCTGACCATCAAACAGTTGATCAGCTAGCCGGCAGTAGTAATTTAACTCCACACCCATTTATAGTTTCCTCCCTGTCTTTAGCAACATTGTCCCTTATTGTCTATACTAAGGACCAACTGTCCCCCATTTATGCCATTCTGCTGCAGCCAGATCACAAGATCACAGGGAGAGGGTCTCCTTAACATGGTATATTATTTGGACAGGAAGTTCACAAATGTGTAGGAAAAGAGGCAGCTGATCTGGAAGTTGGGGGTTAAATGTGTCATTAGTTTCAAGTCATTGCGTTACCACAAAAAACCTGAGTCCTGCCCTCATGAATTCCATTTATCTTTATGTAGCACCATCTAGATTAATATTAGGTGCAAATAACCAGGAATATTCATTGAGTTCAAAACAGATAAGAGTTTATTATTGCTATCTTTAATACAAGAATCTAGTCAATGGATGGTCAAAGCTAAATTGGTGCTAGATAAACCTCAAGATCAGCCATCTCTTCTCCTACAAAAATGTCCTCTAATGATGTGTTGAGGTCAGTGTTGATGTGGTTGAGCATGAGTTGTCTTTGGGGGTTTTAAATAGATAACCTAGATAAGCATTGTTTCTTACATCAGTGTCCTCCCTGGTATTGTAGGGTTCAAATAATTGAAAGATCTATCTATGTTGATTTTGTAAAATTTAATAAGGGACAATCCCTGGTTAAAAAGTTGTGTGTTTTTCTGTATGACCACATGTATGCACATTTCTACATACAGGCATGGTTTCTGACCTGGCCATTGGCCAATTATCAAATAGATTTGTTTTAAATGTCTAGAATGATTGCCATTGTCCAGTCAGAGGAGCATAAAGAGGTGCTTCACTATTCCCTGAAGTTTCAAAAGCAAACTATTTTCTTTTACGTGTCTTTCTGTTGTTGAAGAGTTTAAACAGAACTGTATTTTTTGCAAAAACAGACCGTTCTTTCCCAAACTTTAGTGAAGGAAAGAAAAAAACAAACACAAACCTGAAAGAAGTATATTTAATCTGTTTTTAAAGTATTTTAGAAATGGCAAATACTTATTATAAGTAAAGGCCAGAAAAAACTGCTTATTTTGCGTTTGATTAATAGATGCACAAATGTCTTCATTGTTCTTCTGCTTAGAAAATGCATGAGTGTAACAAAACATTCTATATTTGAGAACAAACATGTGCAAGGAATTAAATAATTGCTAAATAAGTTGAAAGGTGACATGGAGATAAAGAACCAATGGATCAGAAGCTCAGGGCTATCTGCTGCTAGGTTTAAACACTTTAGCCTTTCCCCTCCTCAATTTTATAATTCCAGAAAATTTTAGAATATTCACTCCAATTTTCTAATTCCACTCTTGGAATAATATTGGAAAATGGAAAGAAATAGTAGCGCACTCAAGCATGTTAATGGCATAAGGGACATATCAATCTTTTAAGCCAAAGTCTAATTTATTTTTCCCAATATTGTAAGCTGGGGCAAGAAAAAACCTATATTCCACATAGAATTAATGGATTTAAGGTGGTTCAGAAAGGTGTGGGCCATATAAGATGTAAAGTAAAGGTAAAGGTTCCACTCGCACATATATGCTAGCCATTTCCGGCTCTAGAGGGTGGTGTTCATCTCCTTTACAAAACCAAAGAAGAGACAGCACTGTCCAAAGACGTCTCCATGGTCATGTGGCTGGCATGACTAAACGTTGAAGGTGAACGGAACACTGTTTCCTCCCCACCAAAGGTGGTCCCTATTTCTCTACTTGCATTTTTTTATGTTCTTTCGAACTGCTAGTTTGGCAGAAGCTGGGACAAGTAACGGGACCTCATTCCGTTACACGGCGCTAGGGATTCAAACCGCCAAACTGCCGACCTTTCTGATCGACAAGCTCATTGACAAACTGTCAGTCCTCTGGGTAAAAAAGGGGAGACTTTCTGTTCTGAAAAAAATGCAGTTTTCACATTTAGGATTCCTGGAAGAAACACTGAAAATTCAGATCGAAATTTGATTCGTTAATTGAAATCCGTTCAAATCTGGATGCAACCAGCCTTGGAAAATTATGAACCATTCTGGTTATGCGCCTCAGAAAGTATGTAGGATTTATTAGGGGGTTATATTTTCAACAAAACCAATAAAAGAGCAAGATGATTGATAGGAATAAAATTCTCTTAAGATTCTGAGGCAATGGAATGAGGTGTTTTTTTCTTTCCTACTTCACCCTAAGTACTGGAATCCAGACTCGTTCAGGAGAACTGACAGACAGATCACTCCTTCCATGCCCATATTACAAAAATAACTATGGAAGTAACTATTACAAGATGTACTCATCCACTGGGTGAGTTGGCTTTAAAAGAAAAAAGCTATTGTTGACTAATTATCCAGATTACAACCTATTACACTCAGGAAGAGAGTCACTAGATGCTTCCTCATAACTATTTGAGACAAAAGCCCCCTTCCACTGCTGTCCCCTCAGGGTTTTCTTAGAGGCCGTGGTAGGAAAAGAATGAAAGGGATGTATCTGGTAGGGCAGCTGCAGAGCACTGAGGAGAATGAATTAGAAATAATCTAGAGGACACTAAAATTTTTATTCACATTATATATATTTCATTCTGTTCAAATGTTTACATGTAAAACAAGGACTGTTAGACTCTGCTGGTCTTTTCACAAGGCTCTAAAAATTTGGTTTGCTTGCCAGGACTGGGCTCCCATGAGAGTGATAGAGATAGTCTCTGGGCTTTATTGATGGTTATTTATTATTTATGGTTATTTATTTATTTATTTGTTTTTTTTATTTTATAGTATGTATATTTTTGTTTTTATATATTCAATTGTAAGCAGCAAAACATCATTTATGTGAAATGGTGGTGATAGTTAGTTAGTTAGTTAGTTAGTTAGTTAGTTAGTCAGTTAGATGATAGATAGATAGATAGATAGATAGATAGATAGATAGATAGATAGATAGATAGATAGATCGATCGATCGATCGATCGATAGATAGATAGATAGATAGATAGATAGATAGATAGATGATGGATGATAGATAGATAGATAGATAGATAGATAGATAGATAGATAGATGATAGGTAGATAGATAGATAGATGATAGATAGATAGATAGATAGATAGATAGATAGATAGATAGATAGAT